TCATGGGTAAAATGACCAAGACTCCGTTCTCAAGAACAATGGAGCGAGCAACCAACTTATTGGAAATCATACATACTGATGTGTGCGGTCCAATGAGTGTTGAGGCTCGCGGTGGCTATCGTTATGTTCTCACCCTCACTGATGACTTGAGTAGATATGGGTATGTCTACTTAATGAAACACAAGTCTGAGACCTTTGAAAAGTTCAAGGAATTTCAGAGTGAGGTTGAGAATCAACGTGATAGGAAAATCAAGTTCTTGCGATCAGATCGTGGGGGAGAATACTTGAGTCATGAATTTGGCACAGACTTAAGAAAATGTGGAATAGTTTCACAACTCACGCCGCCTGGAACACCTCAGCGTAATGGTGTGTCCGAACGTCGTAATCGCACTCTATTAGATATGGTGCGATCTATGATGTCTCTTACCGATTTACCGCTATCATTTTGGGGCTATGCTTTAGAGACTGCCGCATTCACTTTAAATAGGGCTCCGTCAAAATCCGTTGAGACGACACCGTGTGAATTATGGTTTGGGAAGAAACCTAAGCTGTCATTTCTAAAAGTTTGGGGATGCGATGCTTATGTCAAGAAACTTCAACCTGAAAAGCTCGAACCCAAATCGGAAAAATGCGTCTTCATAGGATACCCTAAAGAAACTGTTGGGTATACCTTCTACCTCAGATCTGAAGGCAAGATCTTTGTTGCCAAGAATGGATCCTTTCTAGGGAAAGAGTTTCTCTCGAAGGAAGTAAGTGGGAGGAAAGTAGAACTCAATGAAGTATTACCTCTTGAACCGGAAAGTGGTGCAACACAGGAAAATGTTCCTGAGGTGCCTGCACCGACTAGAGAGGAAGTTAATGATGATGATCATGAAACTTCAGATCAAGTTGCTACTGAACTTCGTAGGTCCACAAGGACACATTCCGCACCAGAGTGGTACGGCAACCCTGTCTTGGAAATCATGTTGTTAGACAACGGTGAACCTACGAACTATGAAGAAGCGATGGCGGACCTGAATTCCGACAAATGGCTGGAAGCCATGAAATCCGAGATAGGATCCATGTATGAAAATGAAGTATGGACTTTGACTGACTTGCCTGTTGATCGGCGAGCCATAGAAAATAAATGGATCTTTAAGAAGAAGACAGACGTGGATGGTAATGTGACCATCTATAAAGCTCGGCTTGTCGCTAAGGGTTATCGACAAGTTCAAGGGGTTGACTACGATGAGACTTTCTCACCCGTAGCAAAGCTGAAGTCCGTCCGAATCATGTTAGCAATTGCCGCATTCTATGATTATGAGATATGGCAAATGGACGTCAAAACGGCATTCCTTAATGGTTTCCTTAAGGAAGAATTGTATATGATGCAGCCGGAAGGTTTTGTCGATCCTAAGAATGTTGACAAGGTGTGCAAGCTCCAACGCTCGATTTATGGGCTGGTGCAAGTATCTCGGAGTTGGAACATTCGTTTTGATGGGATGATCAAAGCGTTTGGGTTTATGCAGACTTATGGAGAAGCCTGCATTTACAAGAAAGTGAGTGGGAGCTCTGTAGCATTTCTCATATTGTATGTGGATGACATACTGTTGATGGGAAATGACATAGAATTCTTGGAAAGCATAAAGGCCTACTTGAACAAGTGTTTTTCAATGAAGGACCTTGGAGAAGCTGCTTATATATTAGGCATCAAGATCTATAGAGATAGATCGAGACGCCTCATTGGTCTTTCACAAAGTACGTACCTTGACAAGATATTGAAGAAGATCAAAATGGATCAGTCAAAGAAGGGGTTCTTGCTTGTATTGCAAGGTACGAGATTGAGCACGGCTCAAAGCCCGACCACGGCAGAAGATAGAGAAAAGATGAGTGTCGTCCCCTATGCCTCAGCCATAGGGTCTATCATGTATGCTATGCTGTGTACCAGACCTGGTGTAAACCTTGCCGTGAGTTTGGTAGGTAGGTACCAAAGTAATCCCAGCATGGAACACTGGACAGCGGTCAAGAATATCCTAAGGTACCTGAAAAGGACTAAGGACATGTTTCTCGTTTATGGATGTGACGAAGAGCTCGTCGTAAAGGGTTACGTCGATGCTAGCTTCGACACAGATCTGGATGACTCTAAGTCACAAACTGTATACGTGTATATTTTGAATGGTGGGGCAGTAAGCTGGTGCAGTTGCAAGCAAAGCGTTGTGGCGGGATCTACATGTGAAGCGGAGTACATGACAGCCTCGGAGGCAGCACAAGAAGCAGTCTGGGTGAAGGAGTTCATTACCGACCTAGGAGTCATACCCAATGCGTCGGGCCGATGACTCTCTTCTGTGACAACACTGGAGCTATTGCCCTTACCAAGGAGCCCAGGTTTCACAGAAAGACCAGGCATATCAAGCGTCGCTTCAACTCCATTCGTGAAAGTGTTCAAAATGGAGACATAGAGATTTGTAAAGTACATACAGACCTGAATGTAGCGGATCTGTTGACTAAACCTCTCCCTAGAGCAAAACATGATCAACACCAGAATTCCATGGGTGTTCGATTCATCACAATGTAACTAGAATATTGACTCTAGTGCAAGTGGGAGACTGTTGGAAATATGCCCTAGAGGCAATAATAAAATGGTTATTATTATATTTCTTTGTTCATGATAATTGTCTATTGTTCATGCTATAATTGTGTTATCCGGAAATCTAATACATGTGTGAACACATAGACCACAACACGTCCCTAGTGAGCCTCTAGTTGACTAGCTCGTTGATCAAAAGATAGTCATGGTTTCCTGACTATGGACATTGGATGTCATTGATAACGGGATCACATCATTAGGAGAATGATGTGATGGACAAGACCCAATCCTAAGCTTAGCTCAAAGATCGTGTAGTTCGTTTGTTGTAGCTTTTCTGAATGTCAAGTATCATTTCCTTAGACCATGAGATTGTGCAACTCCCGGATACCGTAGGAGTGCCTTGGGTGTGCCAAACGTCACAACGTAACTGGGTGACTATAAAGGTACATTACAGGTATCTCCGAAAGTGTCTGTTGGGTTGGTACGAATCGAGACTGGGATTTGTCACTCCGTATGATGGAGAGGTATCTCTGGGCCCACTCGGTAATGCATCATCATAATGAGCTCAATGTGATCAAGTGGTTGATCACGAGATCATGCATTACGGTACGAGTAAAGAGACTTGCCGGTAACGAGACTGAACGAGGTATTGGGATACCGACGATCGAGTCTCGGGCAATTAACGTACCGATTGACAAAGGGAATTGTATACGGATTGATTAAGTCCTCGACATCGTGGTTCATCCGATGAGATCATCAAGGAGCATGTGGGAGCCAACATGGGTATCCAGATCCCGCTGTTGGTTATTGACCGGAGAGCCGTCTCGGTCATGTCTACGTGTCTCCCGAACCCGTAGGGTCTACACACTTAAGGTTCGGTGACGCTAGGGTTGTAGAGATATGAGTATGCAGTAACCCGAAAGTTGTTCGGAGTCCCGGATGAGATCCCGGACGTCACGAGGAGTTCCGGAATGGTCCGGAGGTGAAGAATTATATATAGGAAGTGCAGTTTCGGCCATCGGGAGAGTTTCGGGGGTCACCGGTATTGTACCGGGACCACCGGAAGGGTCCCGGGGGTCCACCGGGTGGGCCCACCCATCCCGGAGGGCCCCATGGGCTGAAGTGGGGAGGGGAACCAGCCCATAGTGGGCTGGTGCGCCCCCCCCTTTGGGCCCCCCATGCGCCTAGGGTTGGGATCCCTAGGGGAGGGGGCGCCTCCACTTGCCTTGGGGGGTACTCCACCCCCTTGGCCGCCGCCCCCCTAGGAGATCCCATCTCCTAGGGCCGGCGCACCCCCGTAGGGGGCCTATATAAAGGGGGAGAGGGAGGGCAGGAACACCTCAAGTCTTGGCGCCTCCCTCTCCCCTGCTACACCTTTCCCTCTCGCAGAAGCTCGGCGAAGCCCTGCTGCGATCATTGCTGCATCCACCACCACGCCGTCGTGCTGCTGGATCTTCATCAACCTCTCCTTCCCCCTTGCTGGATCAAGAAGGAGGAGACATCATCCGCTCCGTACGTGTGTTGAACGCGGAGGTGCTGTCTGTTCGGCAGTTGGTCATCAGTGATTTGGATCACGGCGAGTACGACTCCATCATCCCCGTTCTCTTGAACGCTTCCGCTCGCGATCTACAAGGGTATGTAGATGCACTCTCCTCTCGTTGCTAGTTGACTCCATAGATTGATCTTGGTGAAACGTAGAGAATTTTTTTGTTTTCTGCAATGTTCCCCAACAAATACCTAGTTCAATCTCGTTACCGGCAAGTCTCTTTACTTGTTCCGTAATACATCATCCCGCAACTAACTCATTAGTTGCAATGCTTGCAAGGCTTATAGTGATGTGCATTACCGAGTGGGCCCAGAGATACCTCTCTGACAATCGGAGTGACAAATCCTAATCTCGAAATATGCCAACCCAACAAGTACCTTTGGAGACACCTATAGAGCACCTTTATAATCACCCAGTTACGTTGTGACGTTTGGTGGCACACAAAGTGTTCCTCCGGTAAACGGAAGTTGCATAATCTCATAGTCATAGGAACATGTATAAGTCATGAAGAAAGCAATAGCAACAAACTAAACGATCAAGTGCTAAGCTAACGGAATGGGTCAAGTCAATCACATCATTCTCCTAATGATGTGATCCCGTTAATCAAATGACAACTCATGTCTATGGTTAGGAAACTTAACCATCTTTGATCAACGAGCTAGTCAAGTAGAGGCATACTAGTGACACTCTGTTTGTCTATGTATTCACACATGTATTATGTTTCCGGTTAATACAATTCTAGCATGAATAATAAACATTTATCATGAAATAAGGAAATAAATAATAACTTTATTATTGCCTCTAGGGCATATTTCCTTCATTGGGTGTGTTGGGGACACAAGAGACTCTTTGTTATTTGGTTGCACGGTTGCTTGAGAGAGACCATCTTCATCCTACGCCTCCTACGGATTGATAAACATTAGGTCATTCACTTGAGGGAAATTTGCTACTGTCCTACAAACCTCTGTACTTGGAGGCCCAACAAAGTCTACAAGAAGAAGGTTGTGTAGTAGACATCAGTGGCAAAGGGGTCGAAAGCATGTCTTCTGGAATCCCTTGCAGGAGTAAGTATCCCCCAGCTACACCCATGATTGTATATCGATAATGCAAGGGCAAGGAGATTACCGCCACAGATTGCCACTTGTTTGCACCATCTCCATCTTTCTGCAACTTGGTATAGTGGAGGTAATGCCTATCATTATCAATTCGACTCACAAGAGTAAACATCCCAAGCATTCCTTCCCCTGCCTCTACAAAAGCCATTATTGGGATCATTTGGCCAGGGACACGTTGACAAGCCATTATTGGGATCATTTGGCCAGGGACACGTTGACGTGGGAGGTCGACAGCAAAGAACTCCATGGTGCGCGTGTCAAGCATGAGCAACCTGTTGGATGGATAAACAGCCCAACAGAAGCATTTGTGCACGTAGTAGCGCCCTGACGCCCATGTCAAGTGAGAGGCTGGAGGCTGGTTGTCAGGACTTGTCACCAAAGCGATCCAGCCGTCAAAGGTAACAGCACCCCATTCGCCGGCACCGGAAGAGAAGACGAAGAGGACCAGCTTGGTTGTGCACTGCGCTAGGCACATTACTCTGAATGAAGAGGTGTCTTCATCATCGCCAGGAGGAGCAAGGAAGGACTCGAAGTTCAGGATGTCCGGTTGATGAACTAGCACGGCTAGTTCGTCGAGAATGGCAGGCAGCATACGGTAGCGCCGGTACAGGGGGTCACAGACAGCGAACTCCCTGGCGAATTTGCCGCGCTTGTAATCGCCGGGAGCGTAGCTGCTTCCCTCAGGAATGCCAGAGAAGAGGGCGCGTCCATCATGGAAGTCACGGTGGCACCATCGCTTGGTAGAGGGGAGGAAGGAGCACCATAAATCAACCTCCACAGTGTCCAAGGCGCGGGCGGCGGCGGCGAAGGGATGGGGGTGCTGGGCCGGACGGAAGGTGTGCCAGTATGCAGCTGCTATCGCTTGGCGTGAAGCAAGCGAACCGTTCGATACAGGCACAAGGTAGAGTGGGGTAAGTGTGAGTTAAGTGTAGTTGGGCCATGGGCCTGGTGTATCTAGTGGTGTGGCCTGTGGGCTGTGTGCAAGTCGATCGAGCGTAGTTATAAGCTCGCGGTGGAGTTTGTAGCAAGTTATCGAGTTGAATTTAAATTCATCTATCTCTGTTATCCTCTTCCTCTGCCTGTCGTCTCCCACCTTCTCTCTCTTGTCAATTCCCCATTTCAGATCGAGAGATCGCCGGAGAATCCACCCCAAATTCAGCGAACTGACCCGTTCACCGGCAAGGGTGTGACAATCTGGTATCAGAGCTTCCGATCCGTGGCTCGCTTCCGCAACCTCGAGAGCGTACCCAGCAAATTCCGAGGCGACGGTCTCCGGTCACCCTAGGGTTCGACTGGTGTAATTCCTGACCTGAGGTGGGTTGCTTCAGAGGGAGGCACCACGGCCAAGTTCAAGCCCAGCGCGCAGACGCGTCATATCACCGTGGAGATGGAGGCGTTCCAGGAGTGCATGTTGAAGGAGTTCGCCGCGATGCGGGCAGAGCAGAGCAAGCTTGCTGGAGCGGCTGAGATTTGCCAGCGTCTGGAGGCACTTGACACGAAGCTGGAGGAGCAGTCACAGCGCCTGGACCAGGTTTAGGTGAAGGTCAATCTCTCCTGCGACACCCTCGGCAAGGTCCATCAGGAGCAGGTGCAAGCTGGTAAACAGAGCGTGGCGACATCAGAGGCGGCACGGCCAACATTCCGTTCGTCTCCACCATCCAATCTGGCCGATGGGGTTCTCGGTGTGGCTCCAGGATCCACATCACGCAGCCAGATGCGCCACAACCAGGTACCTATCACAAATCCATATCCCAGTGGAGAACAGGGTGAACATGTGTTGTGTGATGATGCGACGGGAAAGCGGAATTGGATGCCTAAGATGGATTTTCCTAAGTTTGATGGGACGAGGGTGCGCATATGGCTCGATCAATGCAAGTCGTTCTTCCTGCTATACAGTATTCTTGAAAATTTCTGCGTCATGTTTGCATCTCTGAATTTGGTGGGCAATGCAACGCATTGGTTTCAGTCATACAAACAGATGGGAATATGGCCTAACTGGCAGCAATTCTGCGAAGCAGTGACAGAGAAGTTTGACATCAATGTCCACAGAGAGCTATTGCAGGATTTCATGAAGCTGAAACAAGTGGGTACAGTGGAGGAGTACAAGAATCAGTTCTACCAACTGGTGTATAACATCAGGTTATATGAGCCTGCTCTTAGTGATACTTTGTTGGTCACACAGTTCATTTTGGGTTTGAAAGAGGAGTTGCATGCAGCAGTGGAAATGCAATTGCCTGTTAATGTACAAAAGGCCGCTCTGTATGCTGTGGTGCAGGAGCGACTGTTGTTGCAACCAAAAGGAGGCAAGTCTGGTTACCAAAAGGGGCAGCACAATAAACAGGACAGCAAGAATTCTTTTGCCCCAGGTGAATTGTCGAAAGCAAGACATCTCAAAGAATACAGGAGGGCCAATGGCCTGTGTTACAGTTGTGGAGAAAATTTTATGCCAGGGCATGTTTGTGCTACAACATGAGGTACTAATGCTCAATTGAAAGCTGTTAAATGTGTGAATCCTCATGAAATCATTTCAGATGCTCTGTTGGATGCCTTGCTAGAGGAACATCAAGAGGAATGTGCAACAATTTCAGTGCAAGCTCTGTCAGGTGCACCTCATCCAAAAACTGTTCAGTTCAGAGCTCTGATTGGAAATCAAGTGTTGTTACTTCTCTTGGATTCTGGCAGTACCCATACATTTGTGGAGCAAGCCTTATTGGAAAGGATCAAAGTTACTCCTGAAACTTTACCTGTTCCAATTTCAGTTAAGGTGGCAAATGGTGATCAGCTACAGTGTACTGAAACAGTACCTAACCTCACCTGATGGTTGCAAGGCCATAGTTTCACTAGTCCTATGAAAGTGTTGCAGCTGGGTGGATATGATATTATTTTAGGTATGGATTGGTTGGAAAAGTGGGGAGTAATGCAGTGCCATTGGGCTGAAAAGTGGATTCAGTTTGAGGATAAAGGAAAATCTGTGAAGTTACAAGGTGTGATCTCTAAACCAACTACTCAGCTACAAGAAATGTCTGTGGAACAACTAGTCAAGTGGGATAAAGGAAATGATATATGGGATGTGGCCCTAATCCAGCCAGTGTTTGACAAATCTAAACAGCAGGCCATGCCAGAAGAAATTCAGGAGGTTCTGCAACAGTATCAGGATGTGTTCAGTGAACCCAAGTCTCTGCCACCTGCTAGAGTGTTTGATCATGCTATCAATTTGATTCCTGGATCAGTACCTGTTAACAACGGACCTTACAGGTATTCCCCTTTGCAGAAAGATGAGATTGAAAGACAAGTGGACAAAATGCTCAAGGCTGGTTTGATCACACCCAGTCTCAGCCCATTTGCTTCTCCAGTGCTGCTAGTTAAAAAGAAAGATGGATCTTGGTGTTTCTGTGTGGATTATAGAAAGCTCAATGCTCAAACTATAAAGAGCAGATTTCCTATGCCAGTGGTGGAAGAGTTGTTGGATGAATTGGCTGGCACTAAATGGTTCTCTAAACTGGATCTCAGGGCAGGATATCATCAAATCAGGATGTTACCTGAAGATGAACATAAAACTGCTTTTAAGACTCACCATGGTCAGTTTCAGTTCAGAGTTGTTCCTATGGGGCTGGCCACTGCTCCTGGTACATTCCAATGTGTAATGAACTATTTGTTTCCTGAAAGAAAGTGTGTGCTGACCTTTATGGATGACATTCTGGTGTTTAGCAAAACTCTGGCAGATCACATTAAACATTTGAAAGAAGTGCTTCAAGTGCTCAGAGAAAATTAGTTTTATGTCAAAGAGAGCAAGTGCTCTTTTGCACAACAGTCTCTTGAATATTTGAGTCACATTATTTCAGTGGAAGGTGTGGCCACTAATCCTAGTAAAACAACAGCTATGGTGGAATGGCCTGTGCCCACAAGTGTAACTAAATTAAGGGGTTTCTTGGGTTTAACAGGATATTACAGAAAGTTTGTGCAAAATTATGGGATTATTGCAAAACCTTTGACAATGCTCCTTAATAAACAAGCTTTTCTTTGGTCTGCAGAAGCTCAAGTTGCTTTTGAGCAATTAAAGCAAGCTATGGCATCCACTCCAGTCCTAGCTCTCCGTAATTTTGACAAGCCTTTTGTGTGGAAACAGATGCTTGTGACTCTAGGGTTGGAGCTATTTTAACTCAGGAAGGACATCCAATTGCTTTTTACAGCAATGCTCTGGGAGTGAAAAATCAGAAGCTGTCTATATATGAGAAGGAATTTTTGGCTATTATAATGGCAGTTGATAAGTGGAGAACTTACTTGTCTAGGGGGCCATTTGTGATCAAGACAAATCATCAAAGCCTATGCCATCTAGGAGATCAAGTACTCACTTCTGATTTACAAAGAAAAGCCATGACCAAGTTGATAGGGATGCAGTTTACTATTCAGTATAAAAAAGGGGTGGAAAACATAGTGGCAGATGCTCTGTCCAGGGTAGCCCACTTGTTTCCCATTCAAGATGTTTCTACCTCACAACCAGTGTGGTTACAGGAGGTGCTCAACTCTTATTCAGTGGACTCGGTAGCTCAAAAAATGTTGCAGAAACTGGCAGTTGATGAAAATGCATGTCCAGGGTTCAAGCTTCAAAATGGGTTGTTAAAGCATAATGACAGAGTGTGGATTGGAGCTAATGCAGGGTTACATACTAAACTTATTAGGGCCTTTCATGCATCTCCAGTGGGGGGACACTCTAGGGTGTTGCCTACTTATTTCAAAGTCAAGCAGTTATTCAGTTGGCCAGGGATGAAAACTGATGTGGAAAATGTAGTCAAACAATGTGCTATCTGTCAGCAAGCTAAGCACGAACTATGCAAATATCCAGGTCTGTTGCAACCTTTGCCTGTTCCCGATGGACCTTGGCAGTCGATCAGTATGGATTTTGTTGAGGGGCTGCGTAAGTCTGATGGATACAGCTCTATTTTAGTGGTGGTGGATCGTTTTTCTAAAGTCAGCCATTTCATACCATTGAAACACCCTTTCACTGCTGCTGTGGTAGCTAAGGCTTTCATGAATTCGGTAGTGCGATTGCATGGTCTTCCTCTATCAATAGTTTCAAACAGGGACAAGGTGTTTACTAGTGCTTTCTGGAAGGAATTATTCAGAGTATGGGGAACAGAGTTGCAAATGAGTACGGCTTATCATCCTCAGACAGATGGCCAAACAAAGCGTGTAAATCAATGTCTTGAGATGTATCTTCGGTGTGCAGTCCACGATTGCCCGGCAAAGTGGAACAGTTGGCTGCCACAAGCAGAGTTTTGGTACAACTCTTCGTTTCATTCTGCTTTAGGGTGTTGTCCATACAAAGCACTCTATGGACATGAGCCTAATATCGGTCAGTTAGCTGCACCTGTTACTTCTCTCAATACATATGTGCAGAGTTGGATATCTGCTCAGACGGAGCATACAGCGAATCTGAAGGTGCATCTGCGCAGAGCTTAGGCCAATTATAAACATTATGCAGACAAGAACAGATCACCACGGGAGCTTGCAGTAGGGGAGCAAGTATACTTGAAGCTTCAACCATACATGCAATCATTAGTTGTCAATCGTCCCTGCCTGAAGCTGGCGCTCAAGTTTTTTGGTCCTTTTAAGATTCTGTAAAAGATTGGATAGGCTGCATATCGGCTGGAGTTGCCCAAAGGCAGTCAGGTGCACCCGGTATTCCATGTCTCGCAGCTCAAATCTCACATTCCAGATCATACAACAGTTTTTACAGTGTTGCCGAAGCCGTTGGACTTGTCACTGCCTGGGGTTGTGCCAGAAGAAATTATTGACAGACGGTTAGTCAAGAAAGGGAATGCAGCGTATTTGCAGGTGCTGGTCAGATGGTCTACTCTGTCCAACGAGAGCGCTACATGGGAACATTATGAAGTGATCAAGAAGCGTTTTCCAGATGCACTAGCCTGGGGACCAGTTGGTTCTCAAGGGGAGGGTACTGTCAGTATGCAGCTGCTATCGCTTGGCGTGAAGCAAGCAAACCGTTTGATACAGGCACAAGGTAGAGCGGGGTAAGTGTGAGTTAAGTGTAGTTGGGCCATGGGCCTGGTGTATCTAGTGGTGTGGCCCGTGGGCTGTGTGCAAGTCGACTGAGCGCAGTTATAAGCTCGCGGTGGAGTCTGTAGCAAGTTATAGAGTTGAATTTAAATTCATTATGTCTCTATTATCCTCTTCCTCTGCCTGTCGTCTCCCACCTTCTCTCTCTCGTCAATTCCCCATTTCAGATCGAGAGATTGCCGGCGAATCCACCCCAAATCCGGCGAACTGACCCGTTCACCGGCAAGGGTGTGACAAGGTGGCGGAAATTATGTCGAGGAGAGGCGGCGGGTGGAGGGTGCGTAAGTGGCGGAGGAAGGAGTGGTCGGTGATGACGCGGCGCGGGGTGGGGCACACCGTCGAGGCGCGGGCGAGGTCGGCGGCCGCCGTCAGGCGAAGGAGGATCTCCTCGAGGAGCTCGTCCTGGAGCGCCGGCTGCTCCGACGGTGCGGCTTGGATGTCGCCCGGCGGCGCCATTGGCGGTGGCATGGTTGAAATGCAACAAGGGGATTTGGGGATTTAGGGTTCTCGACCTTCCGAAAATCTCAGCGCTCCGACAAATGGGCCAGAGGGGGAGGGAAGCTCTTCACTGGATTTGGGCTCTTCATTGCCAGGCCCACCAACATTGCATTAGTCTGCAGAAGTGCTACGATGCAACACCATCCATGAAATCAAGGAACATTCCCCGTCTCTTTTTTCCTGTAGCTTCGTCCATAAGCTTCGAAACTTCAATTTTAAAGCTAAGAACCTCGCAAAACATGCTCTAGTTCTAGGGCTTGGCCAGGTTTAGCCAGCCATATGATCCTATTCTTCTTCCTGTAAACATATTTTCTGGCTGAATAAAGTTTTGCAAGTTTGCCTTTAAAAAAACTAGCAATGCACTTCCTTAAAAAGAAAAAAAATAGCAACGCACTTCACTAAAACAGAGAGAAGTAAACCATTCAATTGTTATATTTTATTTTCTCTTCTGGATTTTTTAAAAATACATTTGGTTTTCTCTACTCTTTCGGGTAAAACTTGCATGTTTAAAAAAAATCTTCACTTACATAAAAAAATGTTCGCATATACAAAATGTGTATTTTGATATATGTTTGTGTATGCATATTAAAAAAATGCTCATCATGCATTAGAAATGTTCAACTTGTATTACCAAAAAACTCATTGCGTATTAACATGTGTTCAACGTGTATTTCAGAAAATGGGTATCGTGCATTAAAGAAAGTATTAATACTGTGCTTCAAAAATATTCATCATGTATGAAATGTAAACCGTGTAATGAAAAAAATGTTTATCATGTATTAAGAAATGATTTAGTGTATTTGAAAATATGCATGTACTACAAAAAGTGTTAACACATTTTTCAAAAACGATCACATAATTTATACAAATTACTCACGTGTTTCCCAAATTTGTTCCCATACTTAAAAAAATCGTTTAGTTTTAATGCTATTAGAAATATTTAGTTAATTTGAAAAAAAATTTCATGTAATAAAAAAATTCATTCATTACGAAAAATATTGAACCTATTTTGAGTTTATGTATTCATTAAAAGTATTAACACATTTTATAAAATTGTTCATATAGGTTTATGAATTGTTCAATCTAATGAAAAAATGTCCATGTAAGTTTTAAAAGTGTTCATGCCTTTGAAGAATTTTTCACGTGTCCCAAACAATGTTCATGTATACATACTAAAATGTTCTCATACATAAAAAAGTGTCCACATAATTTAGAGTTATAATTATATATAGTTGAAACGGAGTTCATGTATTTTCTTGTATAATTTAAATTTTCCATGACTTAAATAAATTTAATGTATTTTTAAGTGTTCACACTTTAGTAGAGAATGTTTAGAATGTTAAAAATAAATGTTCACCCATGCCAAAATATGTTTGTGAATATAGAAAAATGTTCAGTTTGTCAAAAAAATGTGAAAATAGCAAATAGAATAATAAAGGAAAAAATAATAAAAACCAAATGGAAAGAAGAACAAAAAAGTGAATGAAAAATATAATAAAAAATAAAAATTCAAACATGTAACTTAATGTAAGCAGGCTAGCACTACCAAAGTGACACAATAGAACATACTCCCTTTTATTTTGAATAAGTGAGCATTATCAAAACAAGCAACAGATTGTTGAAGCTAGTCATGCAAATGAGAACATAAGTAACATGTATCATTTCCCTATCGACTGCTACTAGCAGCAAACCAAAGGCTAACCCTAACGGTCCATCAGATTGAAGATACACGCCCAAAAATGGTCTTCAAGTTTTATAACTTGTCGGTGTAAGTGTTGAAACTTGCCGACTTAAGTTTTAAAGCTTGTCGGTGCAATTTTCGAAATTTGCATTTGTGCTACCCATATCTAATCTAACAATCCATAAATATTTTTCTATTCTTCCATCGTAAAGTTCTTCTATAGTCGTCGTCAGATGGTTACGGCAGTTCACGGGTTGTTCAGCCTGCCTGCGATTGTGCACAGTGTTAAAAGCACCGGCAGGTCTAATTAATGCGATTTCTGAGCAAAACAACCGGTGACACTCTGCACTTTTGCACTCGCTCAGACCATCCAGTATAGAAACTTGGGTCTTCGAAATTCCAGGATACGATCAAGATTACTGTCGCCCAGGCCGTGGCTTCCATAGAATAACAAATTAAATACAAAGCTAGTTGGCGAGCCTCAAAAAGAGGTAAACACCTGAGCCAACCTATTCACGTGGTTTTCGCGGGGATGACACTGACACACCACGTCACCACCCTTTTGTATGTGCTGACTTGGATCGACTCCAACTCCACTAACCTCAGCCAAAGCACGTGACTAGGCTCGCCTTGAGATGGCCGGCTGCACTATATATCTTCAATAATGCTCAATCTGCTAAATACTACTACCTCTGTAAACTAATTTAAAAGCATTTAGAATACTAAAATAATGATCTAAACGCTTTTATATTAGTTTACAGAGGGAATACTATATTTATAGATTAAAAGGCCCCTCAGTTGACTTCGTTCCATTGACAACAAGCATTATGATCCATTACATCAGCAATCCGTGCCTTTATTATATCAAAAATCAAGACACTGCTTGCAGACGGCGGTCGTTCTTGAGAGAGGTAATATCAACAGAGGTCATAGAACTTGCGCTGGATGTTCAGTTTGGTGCTAGAACTTAGAAAATACAGATTTGTGGTCAACCAGCTTGTGTTTTCGTGCAAATACGGTCACTTTATCCGTATCAGACGTTATCCCGTGCTTACATGACATGCCAACATGGCTATGGCCCACTGTCAGTGACAGGAACCAATTTTTTTTTGCAGAAACGCCCCTGTTTTGTATTTAACTGCACAGAAACCTCCTCATCAGCATGCGTGTTCCCACTTGAGAGAGAAATGATAAATAAAAAGTTCATGCGCACGTAACACTTGACAGAGATATGAGAAACAAAAAGGCCGCGCAGGGCTCGAATTCGCTACGCCATGCATGCAAATGCATGTGCCAACCACTGCACCAAGCACCTGTTTAAACAAATATACCTTACTTCACTTTATAGTGAAAAGCAGGGTTTAGCTCATATTTTCACAAACTTGCAAGCTGGGGCCACCTACTGGATGTGCACTACTAATTACTGTAACGTTCCCAAGCTTTGTTTTTTTTCTAGTTTCAATTTATATATATTAATGCCAAAAACTTTTGAACTCAAAATCCATTTGAATAAATTCTGGCAAAAAAAATCCGTTGATCCTCGAGTAGTTGTCGTTGCCAATATATAAAATTATATGTTTCTCCTTAGGCACATGAACTAGTACGAAAAATGGCAAAAATTTCGCTCATCCTCGATATGGCCACAAAATCTTTGAGACAAATCAACAATTTTTTGTTTGAATTCAAATGATTTAAAATTAAAAAGCCTAGATAAAATAAAATATAACACATAATGAATATATCATTTTTATCCTGATGTTAGTCCATTAATTAGCTAGCAATTGGCCAAGGTTTGAATCTTCTGTAGGTTATATTTTTGCCAAAAAAACATATTCGGTACAAAAATAATCAAAATGTTTGTGTCTCATGATTTGAATTCTAGACCTAGAGGTGTGAAGAAAACTAACCTGCCATGGTACAAAACTGGAATTTTAATTTTAAGTGATCCAAGTCCATTTTGACATACGAGTTCAAATTAACCATAAAAATATTGAGGGGAATGAAAACAAAAATTGCGCACCCTCTAAATCCGTTTAGATAACTTGATATTAGAGCAAGCTTATTGCTAATATCATTTGTCTTTTTATATGCTTGAATATATGGTTGTCCCGGCCAAAAAAGAATTTATTTGTCGGGTTGAACAATATAACAGCATATGTACCTTGGTACAAGACAGCAAAGCATGTCCAGTGTGCTAGTTAGCACGTGAGACTGGAGTGATGAGTTGCTGGTTCAAATCCACATGGCCTGATTAATTTTTAAATCTACAAATCTTTCTCACATCCACTAGCAGGTGGGTCCCACATAAAGGTAGAAAGAGTAGGCTGACTGTCAAGTGAGACCTATGTGCGAATGAATTATACAGCCATAATTATTACGTGGGTATGAATTATACAGCCACATTATAAAAAAGTTGGGGTTGTTTCTGCAAAAAAGACGTCACACATGTCACACCTAATGGCTCCGCCACCAACAGTCATTGACAGTGGGGCCATGCATATGTGGCACGCCACGCAAGCGGCGAAAACGCCTGCGTACATGCTTTGTGATCGTATTTGCACCAGAATGCAAGTTGGATGACCACAAATCCGTATTTTTAAAGTTTTAGTATCAAAGTAAACATACAGAGCAAGTTATATGACTCCCGGTGATATTACCTCTTCTTGAGAACATCTGGAAGAGCAAGAACGCCAAGGCGTTTCGTGAATCGTGACCAGCACACGCCCCCAGCCGTTGTGGCATGCAACGTCGCCGCAGATGTCATGCTTTGGCGCTGGAGTTGCTCCCAATCCATCTGCAAATCCACCAGTGAGCAAGGACGTCCAGGATGCAAAAAGAAAAGGAGTTGCCTGTTCTTCACCCGATGCCGAAATTATCTAACGTGCATCATATGCCACATAACAGCAGTGGAGATCATATAGTAACGTTTTTCTTGTTAGTGTACCATAACCAGGCAACAGATTCCAATCCAAGACGAAGCCAACATCGCCCTGAGCCCTGTGCTGGGAGGGACACTGTTTCCGTTGCACTCGGCCCCCTCTGCGCACTCACAATTCCCTTTTCGTACAAAAAAGTTCGCCTATTTCTGCAATCAAATTAATCTCTAAAAGTGTGATGTCCTAATCAATATGACCTTCTAACCGCGTTTGTCGACTGTTCCATCCCATGCCATGTCTTGACCGGTCGTCTGGGCACTGCTACATGTCACAATTTTTATACAACATCTGTATGACACCGTTGATGGAATAGTGTTACATTGTCGGATGCGAATCGTATA